TTATTTATTTATTTATTTATTTACATTGAAGCATTGATATGCATAGTCGAAAAACCAAGTAATAATCATTCATATTCCCGATTTAAACAGCAACACGAACCAGAATATCTGGTATCTGTCTGAGGATCAGATGTGTCTGCCATTAGCAACGTGGACAGAGGGAATGATCAATTTGCCCATTCAGAATGCACACAAAAGGAACGATATAGGTACGCACCGTTGTGATCTAGGGGTGCATTTGATTCTTGCAGCTGCCTTTATTATTAAAAAGGTGCGTACGCATACCATTAGCGCCGAAAAAGGGGGCTTAGAGATGTGACCTCTACGAGCATTATTGACAATTTGAAAAATGTGGCAGTCAAAACTCATCCTACTGTCAAATCTCGCACACAAGCCACAAACCGTTTCGTGTTTCATACCGCGATAATACCTTCCAAGGTTATGAGAATAAATGAGTTTTCGTTGCTTTCGAGAGAATGCTATCATTTTGTATTTCGATATAGTCATCGGCAAATATCAATATTTCACAATCAATATTGGTACTTATATCAATAATAAAAAGCAAAAAGTGCAATGGTCCCAAACTCGAACCTTGTGGTACTCCCGACGATGCTGTATAACGAAGACACTCGAAACCGTTATAAGAGATATTCTGTCAATAAGATTCTAATAAAGTAATTGACTTTAACTGAGTAAAAACCGCTAAGTTGGTGACAGTTGCCCTCTATCACCTGATTTGTAAATGGTACACACTTTTTCCATTTGTCTGGAAACCTCGAGGTACTTAATGTGATGATGTTGAATAAGATAACTAACGCATTAATTATACCAGGTACGCTATCTTTAACTAAAAAAGAACTAACAAAAATTTTGAGAAGTAGCTCAGCAATAAATGTGTCTTTTAGACCTATTTTTCTCAAGGGATCATCATGAATAACTTAGTATTAACTAATATAACCTACCACAAATATGAGAAAACAATATTTTTGTAAATCATACAACTTATTGTAGGATTCTTATGGAGAATTTGTCTCCCGTTTTTCAAAAAGTTTTTGGAGCTCACACATTCTCACGAGGTCTTCTGTTGGAGCTGTTTCTTGCTTTTCAAAGAATTCGGGAGTACATTCATATGTTTTTGCTGAACCTCCATGATAATCGGTAGGATAGTTGCCAAATAGTGACACCGAAACTAAAAGGACCGACAGTCCTTGTCGCATCTGTATGTATTTAATCTGTGGCCGTAACGTACATAGTTTTGTTGGTGACTCCACGCTCCTTGCATGATGGGCATGATTGGCACAACGCAGTACAAACGCATTGGGACGGCCACATCTTGTAGAGAGACCACGATTGGAGATGATATAAGAGTTATTATATTAAGTTTTTTTGGGATAAAGATGGGACATACATTTTTAGCTTAAAAAAAATATATTTTTTTACAACAAACATCTAGACAACCTAAAGGCAATACACATCGCATAAAGTTGGCAGAAAGTTGCTAATGAAATACAGGGTAGCACTCCTGCTACCAATACGTGTAATCTTAATTCAAATATAGTCAGTGTCATATAGACGTCTAGTCTCTCAATGCATCCCTGTGGTAATATTGTGTTAGTAACAATACACACCACAATATTTAACAAGTACTTATTGATTGTGATCTCACTCTAAATTGAATGCCAAAAATAACATTACATTTGGACTAGAGCTAAACTTATTTCTATTCATAGACAACTCAGGCGTAACGTCGTTTTTCTATTATCCAGGTTTGATTAAAAACATGCGTTTGAATCAGTAGGTAAGTGCAATAAGACCAACCCATTGTATCCAGGACTTTTAATAGGAGATAAAAAAACCTGAGATGTCAGAATTTTTGGAACTGGCCTCTAAAACGCTATGTGTTGTGTAGGTGATCCTTTGTAGAACTTTTGTTGTTTTCAAGAATAGCATATGGCATTGAAATATAAAATTTCGCTCTCTGATCCAAGATGGAGCAGCATCTGCAAGTTGTCGACAAGAAACTTTCACAAAACGTTCTTATTTTTAGTATCTTTAAAAACTCCATGTATTGTAATACTGGTGCGCTTCTGATTTTACTAACGCGCGCCTGGCACAAAAAAGTGGCTGTGTATGCAGTAGGGTGAGCGCTATACTGAGGGTACATACATGTGCCTATTATAAAGAGATGAACCCAAGGATTTATCATTCTTGATATTTGACGAACAGAGAATCCATATGGCCGTCCTAAATATCATTTGATCTTGGACTAAATATACATTTCCCACATAGAACTGCAGCAATCGATTATTCAAAGAGTTGACGCACAACACATATGAAAATTTCGGTTTAAACTACAAGTGCTGGGAGCAATTTCGCTAAAATATTTTCAGAATTGTGAGTTATACTCGAAGTAGACAACAGCTGTCTTATTTTGAATATAAACCCTAGGATGTCCTGAAAGTTGGGACTTTTCTTTTCAGCAATTTGCGGCAAACCAACACCGAAAATGTCAAAGAGAAATTGGACAAAAATACTCACTATTCGTTTGGTAAGGAATTTCAGGTCCTGACCTGTCACATGTTTTGTTTGTAAATTGCTTGAAGTTGTCACTATTCGATTCAAAAACCCGAGTGTGTCTACCTCTTCCTAAAGTTGCAACATTTGGGGCTGTTTAGGTCTTCAACTGTGTTCAACCGGCTTTTGCACTATATAAATAAACATATGCAGCTCTGATGAAAAGAAACATCGAGGACAACGGCGACGTTCTGAGCACACTTCAATAGGATCTTGAAGATGCTCATATTAAATGTATAACTACGCTATTGCTCTAGGAATGTGTCAAACTGCGGTTTTTATACACTGGGTCAACCTGGACACAACGCAACGCCTGATTTATATACTGACTGTCATAGTCTTAGTACAACATCATGCGTTGTGATATAGGAAGGGATTGTGAGAGGGAAGTACTAACTTATTTCGTGCTTTTTGGAACCTAATATATTGGTTATCTTATCTGTTAATAAAAACCATGTTTATTATTGTCTGACCTATACGCTATGTAAAGGAAAGTCTCAAGTTTTTATCAGTCAGTTTTTGGATTCTACGGGAACATGTTTGACAACGAGTGGTTTGGGCATGAGGTTTTGAAACCGATTATAAAATGGGTGTACGAGGGATGTCTTTTAAGTTTTGCATATAGAAACATAGTAGGCCGCGCGGATCGAACGTCAGTACTGAATCTTAACTTCACTCTTCAGTAAACTTAAATTCAAAGTTTCACAACAATACGTGCAGTAGTCTCACTAGAGTGAATATTTAAGTGTCACCAAGTCATTAGAAAAATGGAACTCAACCGAGAACATTTTCGCGCCATAATTTATTATAACTTTCAGAGACAATTATCGCAGCAAGAATGCCTTGCTGAGTTACTGTCTGTTTTCGGCAACGAAGCGCCATATCAGTCGGCAATTTCCCGTTGGTATGGAGAATTCAAATGTGGACGGGTGAGTCTTAGCGACGATCCCAGGGTGGGTGCACCAAAAACGGCAGTCATCCAGGAAAACGTCGATGCTGTGCGCAAACTCATCATTGAAGATAGACATGTGACATATCGCGAGACTGAGGCGTCCTTGAAGATCTCAAAGACCTCAATTCAAAATATTTTACATGAAGAATTAGGAGTCAGAAAATTAGTTTCTCGTTGGATACCCCACCTGTTGACTGAAGAGCAGAAAGCAGCCAGTGTTAATTGGTGTCAATTCCGGAAACTCAAAAAATGTGTACAGCATTTTTAGTGGTTATGAATCGTGGATTTACTGTTATGAACCAGAAAATAAACGACAGTCGGCTGTCTGGGTTTTCCAAGGTGAAGAAAAGCCAACAAAAGTCATCCGTTCTCGAAGTGTTTCGAAAAAGATGGTCGCGACATTTGTGTTAAAAGCGGGTCATATTGCAACAATTCCTCTTAATGAGCAAAGAACTGTTACTGCGGATTGGTATACCACCATTTGTTTGCCAAAAGTCATCACCGAGCTTCGAAAAATCAACCCCGAAAGAAGAATCATCCTCCACCAAGACAATGCAAGCTCGCACACAGCCCAAAAAACAAAGCAGTATTTAACGGAAGAAAACGTGGAATTATTGGACCATCCTCCATATAGCCCCGATCTAAGTCCTAACGATTTCTTTACTTTCCCGAAAACTAAAAACAGACTGCGTGGTCAAAGGTTCCAGTCAGCAGAAGAAGCAGTTGACGCATTCAAAAATGCCGTTTTGGATCTGCCAGCAAACGAGTGGAATAAGTGCTTCGAAAATTGGTTCGAGCGCATGCAGATGTGTCTTAATCTTCGTGGAGAATACTTCGAAAAACTATAAAGCCATTTAAAACTACCTTCCGTGTTGTTTTATTTCCATATGCAAAACTTAAAAGACATCCCTCGTAAATAATAATTAAAGACCAGGGCCAAACCACATAGCAAACTAGCTTTCGTAGATTTGACATACATCATTAAATATTTGAGAATATGAACACTGGTGCTAACTGCCGGATGAACATATAATTCTAAGTGCTTGGTATCAGAAAAGAACCACATCTTAACAACTTTTGAAAAGTGTGCCTAAACTAGATAACTATGATGAGGTACATTTCCACGTTTCCAGTTCACGGGATCTTCGCGCTTGAGTGCAGACTTTTTGAAATATTCGGCCTTTGTTGAAATCTTCAGCCTTTTTTAGCTGAATGTGTGAGCGAAAGGGTATTTTTGGTCAAATATAGCTCAAACCAAGGCTTTGTTCGAGCCACACTTGCGGTTTGATGTGTTTATTAAGCTTTTAACACATAGATCATGGTACTTGGTGTGGTAACAGTTTTGATGTCAGTTTACTTCTCTCCATTTTATTACTTGGCAAGCTTGCAAACGATACTGACGGCAAATTCAAGGATACTGATGATACTACATCGTCAGTAGCTTTTGGGCTAATGAGGTCATCTTTTGTTCCAGGTGATAATGGGTGACAGGGCGTCTGCAGAACGAGCATGTAAAGATCCTAATCCAATCATAGATGGAAGAAAAGCCAACGTAAATTTAGCAATATTAGGAGCCAAACCCCGAGGAAATGTTCAAACTGGTGAGTTCGTGATCTTTGCACCATGCTCATTATTACATACTCTGTTTTTTTTACCCGGCTGCTTTAGGGCGGTATCGTCAAATGTTCTTAGAACTGTAGTACGCTTGTATGGCCTCCTTGATTTTCATAGTATTTCCTCTACTTCAAAAAGGTTGTGGTATTTCTAGATTGCTACTGTTTGGTGTCAGCGTTAGGGCTCCTTATTGTGATGCTATGTCTTCATTTTGAATTGTAGGAAATCTCAGGCTGAATTAGCAGATGATATAAATCAAAAGTATGGACAGTGTGATGCAAATAGTTATTTGTAACATAACCTTAAAATAGAGCTCTGGCACGGAACAGTAGTAAACTATGAAAATCAAGGAGGCCATAAAGGCGTCCTACAATTGTAGGAACAACTGACAATACGGCCCTTAGAGTGAGGGTTATGTTTTTTATCCAACTGTCTCAAGAGGGAGATGTTTATCGCGCGGGGGTATGTATACATCTATTTTTGGTGTCGTCTTGATACGCATGTCAAATTCTTGGGCTTGTATCTAGATACAGGTTTGAATTTTAAAGACCACTGTGTATACAGTGTGTCTCTTACTGATATGCGAATATTTAAGGCAATGAATTTACATGAAAAATTAATGTTAGCTTGCTTTATAAACTATGGTCTAGAAATGTTTCCTTACAAAAACTCGGGGTGTTGAAGTTTTAGGAAAAAAATGGAAATTAATTAATATTCTCAGAACCGCTTCAGATATTTCACTGATATTTAGTAATTAGTGAAAGTTAATAAAGTTGCATATTTTTCAATGCAAAAATAGTTTTTAGCTTTAACACTGGCGTGCGTACGGGTATTGACTTCAATATTTTTTAAGAAAAAAATGGTACGCCATTGGTTTTTTGCCAAATAAAAATTATTTTTCAATTTAAAACAAATGATCTCTCTTGAATTGTTTTCCTTCAATGCGCCACTTTTGAGTTAAAAAATAAAAACCGTTCTATTGTCCGAGAAAATTAATGTAATAATAATTGAAGAATGCAATTTAGCAATAAATATCTAGTTGCTCTGGAATATGTCACTGGCTTTTGACATCTGACAAGTCTCTGTTATTCAAATCTGTTCGCTGTGACATCTTTTTCATTATTTAGTTTTTACAATCTGGTCTTGCCGACGGTAATGGTGAGCAAGCCAGACGGATTTATCACCAGAGATATCCCGATCGTGCTTTGCCAGATAGTCGAACCTTTTCTAATATTCATCGTCGTCTTGTTGAAACTGGTTCTGTCCGAAAAGGAACATCTAAGTGTAGACCTCTAAGTGTGAGAACACCTGCAATTGAGGAAGCAGTGCTGCACGAAGTCGAAGAACATCCTGAAACGAGTACGAGGAAGATCGCTAGACACTTACAATACTTGTCATCAAATTGTTTGGAGAATTTTAGTGGCTTTTTTGTTATATCCTTTAAGTGTACAGGCATTACTTCAAATTGATTTTCCAAGGCGTGTGACCTTTTGTCAGTGGTATCTTACAAAATCCGCAATTTGCAAAATGCCATTCAGAATTTCCACAATAATCATTTGTGGGCAGAAGAAAATGCCTATGCCGTAACCAAAACTCATTTCCAACACCAATTTTCGGTTAACGTATGGGCAAGAATTATTGGCAACCACTTTATTGGCCCATTCTTCTTGCCGGGACGACTTGACGGACAGACTTACCTCAATTTTCTTCAACGATAGTTGCCTTTGCTGCTTGATGATGTTCCGTTAGTAATAAGAAACAATATGTGGTACATGCATGATGGTGCACCAGCGCATTTCAGTGTAGCGGTTCGTAATTATTTACAAACTGTTTATCCAAATCGTTGGATTGGCCGCGGTGGGCCCCAAGAATGGCCACCAATGTCCCCAGACCTCAACAGTTTAGATTTCTTTTTGTGGGGCTATCTTAAGAAACTAGTGTAGACAAGTCCCATTTACACTGTAGAGGAATTAAGAGAAAAAATAGTTGCAGCGTGTGATAGAATAAAAAACACTCCAGGGATATTTTAACGAGTGCGCAATGCCATGAGAAGGAGGGCAGAAGCATGCATACTAAGTGAAGGGTGCCATTTTCAACAATGTTTGTAATCATTTCGTTGGTTTTAATGTTATGTTTATGTTGTCAGTTGTTGTTGTTCATTACCCCTAATGTGTTTAATTTTTCCAATGAAATTAATAATAATTTTGCAAGTTAGACAATAGAACGGTTTTTATTTTTTTACTCAAAAATGGCGCATCGAAGGAAAGCAACTCAAGAGAGATTATTTGTGTTAAAGTGAACGGAGAATTCAAAAATAATTTTTATTTGCCAAAAAACTATTGACGTACCATTTTTTTCTTAAAAAATATCGAAGTCAATACCCGTACGCACGCCACTGTTGAAGCTAAAAATTATTTTTGCTTTGAAAAATATGCAACTTTATTAACTTTAACTACGTACTAAATATCAGTGAAATATCTGAAGCGGTTCTCAAAATATGGATTAATTTCTTTTTTTTTCTAAAACTTCAACACCCCGAGTTTTCGACACCCCGAGTTTTTGTAAGGAAACATTTTTGGACCATAGTTTATATAGCAAACTAACATTAATTTTTCATGTAGATTCACACCCTTAAATATTCGCAAATGATTAAGGGACACTGCATATTGCTTCAAAGAACTCCCAATCATATGAAAAATATCCGAACGGTCCTTACCGTAGCACAGCCGCTCAAGTTGAGACACGACTGAGGTGTACACTATGTTTCTAGGGTTTGTCCACAAATGCCCAGCAAGTATTTTTTGCTCAGAAAAGAGTGGTTAGATGCATGATAGGAGTCAGTAGTAGGCATTGTTGTAAGAATATTTTTAAGCGCCTTTACTTTACCATCTTTATTTTTATACGAAATGGCAGTGTATATTTTTATTGACAGAAATAAGTTTTTAAATAATTTTAACTCGTACTCGACCAGGCAAGCTGGAGACTTATAAGTGTGTTTTGCCAAGTGTAAGATCGGTGTCAGATCTCCGGCAATACTGGGTCCATGAATTTTCAGACCAAACCATATTAAAGAATGTGGAGGTATATAGCTGTAAGTAAATGTTATTATGCCGTCTCTGAGTTTGTTATTTTATCATTTATTTGTGTATTTGTTTTTATACATATATTTATTTTGTGTTTTTATTCTGACGAGTCTCATACATACATTGTAATGTCTCTTAGGATAATAAAAAATTTGAACTTGAATTTGAACTGTTGAGTAAACTGAGGACAAATGAATTCACTCCTCCAACGGCCCCTGTCGCACCGACAGATGGCTCAAAAAAATCATAACAATTTCTGTAATATAGATTTATTTAACATTAGCTTGACCTTCCTGAAAAAGGCTTTAAAGTATGAGTATTACAGCTCTATGGCAGACTAAAATAGAATTGTTTTATTTTGTTTACATAACTCAAGTTATCACCTCCAATATCATTTCTGGTATAATTTCAATTTAATTTTGATTTCAGTTTTAATTAAACGTAAGTAAATGTTAAATTATGTATACTCCTTTTATTAAAAAGGTTAAATTAATAGTTTATTGCTTATAATTGGAACTACTCACTCAGTTTATGTTGTTACAACAATATCGGAAGATAAAAAAAATATTAATATTAAAGTATTCAATAATGTAATATATGTATATGTATACGATATTTTATGTAAGTTTAGTTTTAGTTCACTGAGGGTGTGTGTTGGGTTTACCTGTTAACACCCCAAACTGTATATATAAATACAGTGCGCGTTCAGCCACGAGGCTTCTGATTTCCAGTCCTGGTGCCTCGATATTCAGCTTTCTGACTGCGCGGCTGCATCAGTATAAAAAAATTGACCACTTATTTTGAGGCATAGTAGTGCAACAGAGGTAGCCTCAGTCGTCTCACTGCTCCAAAATTAGCTAGACGAGAAAATCATCTGTCTCTTCACGCTAGACTTATGATATATGTCGGCATATGTGAATCGAAAGTAACAACTCGTGATGCATATCAAAATAAAAGTGCCATAAGGGCAGTACGCGATGCCCGATGTCAGCGTTTGTTTCAGCATACTTTTCACCTGGATAATTTTTGTTGTGATAATGGTATAAATTGATGGTTCGGTGGTCGCGCGACACGAACCCGCTGCAACGGAAGTCCGGGTGTGCGCCGGAAGAAGGGTGGTTAGGAATCCATGTTACTGCTGCAGCTACTGGCTTATGCCTCTTGCAGTGGCGCAACGTCTACATGTATATCATGCAGGGGACTGGGACAACAGCCTCGCAGATACAAAGGGAGTTCGAAAAATAGACGGAGATATCTTAGAAGGTGATTCCTGTTAAAAAATATGACAAAATTTTCTGTAAACATGTGTCTGGAAATGAAGAGTTTTCAGGATTCAGGGTGATGAATTTATTCTTTTTTTATCAATATCTTGAAAATTATTTTCTCGAATCTGTTGAAATTTGGCAATATTATTTGTTGTATCAAGAGGTCAATTTTGTTACAAGGTACTTGTGATTTTTTTTAGCAAAAATTAATAAACCAATTTTGTCCAATGGCATGCAATAAAACGGTTTTATTTTTTTTTCTGGAAAACTAAGCGAGATACCAAAAAAAATACAAGAGGCAAATAAGTTGTATTTTTGAGATGCCTAATCAAACAACGAATTTTATATATATACAAGGTTTGTCCGGAAAGTAATAGGACTGAGTCGATTTAAAAAAAATTATTGAGCCAATCGTTACAATTCTTTAAAAGCTTTCAAAATAGGCTCCTTCTGCGTCGATGCAGCGCTGCCACCGCGATTTCCAAGCATTGAAGGCGTCACGGAATGCATTCTCCGCAGTAGCCTTGAGAGCCGCGGTGCATGCTGCTTGGATCCCCTCTGTCGTCTCAAAATGCTTGCCTTACATCGGCCTTTTCAGGCGAGGAAACAAAAAAAAGTCCGGGGGGCACATCTGGGCTGTAGGGCGGCTGCGGAAGCGTTGGGATGCCGGCCTTGGTCAAGTAGCTGTTCACAAGAAAGGCGGCGTGAGCCGGGGCGTTGTCGTGGTGCAACTTCCAGTCGGCTGCAATGTCTTGTCGGACCCGACTGACCCTTCGTTTGAGTCTCCTGAGCACTTCCACGTAAAACTTGGCGTTGACGGTTTGTCCAGGAGGAAGAAATTCATGGTGGACGATGCCTTTGATGTCAAAAAAGACAATGAGCATCGTTTTCACTTTGGATTTGCTCATTCTTCCATTTTTTGGGCGAGGAGATGCCGTCTTGCGCCACTCGGAAGATAGCCTCTTTGTCTCGGGATCATACTCAAAGATCCACGACTCGTCACCTGTGATTACGTTATTCAAAAATTGGGGGTCACTGTCTCTCTGTCGCAAATTTACCGAGTTTCACACAGAATTTAATCGCGTACCTCTGCTCTAACGAACGCTGCATTTTCGGCTTGCACCACTCACAGAAACCCGTCGCGCGAAAATGCCTGTCCTGACTCTCCAAGTGCTCGGAGACCGTATACGCGAGGAAGTGGGGAGATGTCTTGATCGACGTGCGGGTTAAATAGTCACAATGGAACGTTGGACCGGAGCGCAACGTGGTTTTGCTAGCGATTCTTACTTTAAGAGTGGTGAAATTTTGTACAAAATACAACATTCGCCAAACCAAGAGATGCCCCAAGTAAATACCTATTGAAAAAGTTTATCAAGAGGTTCCGTGAAACAGGCTCTAGTCCACCCATTCCTGGCCCCACACCTACTGTATGAACCGAAGAAAATGCGCGTCGAGTAAGTGATTCGGTCATTGCAAATCCTCGGCGTTCTGTACGGGAGCATTCCACTGCTTTGAGAATCCCTACGTCAACACTGCGTGGCATAATGAGAAAAAAAAATGGGTTTTCATCCTTATAAAATCCATTCAGTCCATGCTTTAAAGGAAAGTGGTTACGTATTACGAAAATCTTGTGCTGAACGGATGTTGAATCTTTTTCCTACGCAGTGCAGACTCGCGAACGTTGTTTTTACTGTCCAGGCCAATTTTCACGTAGACGGTTATGTGTACAAGCAAAATTGCAGATATTGGGCATCAACGAACCCAAAAGAGAAACATCAACAGCAGCTGCATAGTCCAAAGGTGACTGCGTGGTACGCCATATCCTCTGGCAGTATTACTGGGCCGTATTTCTTTGAGGATGAAAACGGTCATGCATTGACAGTCAATTCCCAGCGACACAAGGACATGATTGAAACTTTTTTGCTCCTATTGTAAGAACAGAACATCGATTTAACAGAAACACATAGTTTCAACAGGGTATTGCCACTGCCCATACTTCCAGAGAATCGATGGACGCCCTGAAAGCACTTTTTTCTCAAAAAGCTATATCGTTTGGAGACAGTCACTGGCTTCCTAGGTCAACGAATAGATCCGAATATGTAGTAGAATACGAAACAACCATTAATAAAATATATAATATAAACTGAATGACCCATATTTAATTTCACGTTCAAATAGATCCTTCCGAAAGAAGAATATTGGTATAACGTTTTGACGATTGGTTGCTGAGTTATAAGCGATTTAATGTACAAAACGGTCAACTCTGGCAGTTTGCCAGTTATCTATTTTGAAAGTTAGCGAATCTATATTCTAGGATGATGAAGTATTCATTAAGGGGCTTCCAATGACTCCACGAGCCATTTAAAAAATGCTCTAAGATAGCGTCCAGCCGACATCTTTAATTTTTCAACTGCCACTTTTACTCTGAAATGCAGTATTCATGCATTAATTTAATTTATATTGCCATGAGCGGACGAGCCCCAACACAATATTGTCAAATTTTTAATAATATTTTTAGAAAGCCTAATCTAGTGAAAAAAAACCTTCTTTGGCCCCGGTGCAATAAGCCGATTTAAGAAAGAATATTTTGGTATCGTTGCTGTTTCCTGTAAATCGGCAATGCTAGCTCATAATCTACAAAACATCAATATCACGACACTAATAGCATACACAGCATAAGCTGGAACGATTTTCTAAGCGGTGAACAGTAAAATCTAATAACGTACACAATCTTGACGATACGATCTGAAAATGAAATATTGTTCAGTAACAATAAACTATTACAAAACAATTAGATCGTTACTTTCTAATTCTTAAGCACAAAAGGAACATGAGTCGAGAATCAGTTTTAGTCAAAATACGAGTATAACATGTTTTAATGTCTTATTGCTGACCGGTTATTACTTTCACATGCCTGATGATGTCTGTTATGTATTTCAACTTGATCTTGTCATTACGTACTTCAAGGGTGAATTTAGGAATCTGTCTAGGGAGGGGGGAGCAGCAGTGATCGCAGCCTTCATTTTCAAGATGTTTGACTTCAGAGGGGGGGTCGGCGACTCAAAATTGAAGAGCAGGGAAGGAAGGAGCAGCACAAGTTTGAGCACTTAAGTGGCGCTTCTGGGAGCAAATTCCCTTGACAATTTAGGGGTGGGGGTGGGAGACTTCTGGGAAGGGAAAAATCATTAAATTCCAGTATATTGTTTGTCTATTATGTGTGTAAAATTAGTGTAACACAGGGCATTTTCACACCCACCCTACTTATGTAAGGCTGGGTGTTAACGGTCATTTGATCGAGGATTTGTCCTTTTTGCCAAAAATATTGTGTGTATTTTCTATAATACAATAAATATAATGTTTTTTTTTGTTTTTGTTTTTTGGCAAATAAATGTATTTTGAATTTGAATTTGAATTTGAAAGGGGAGCGAACGTCTCACCATTTAAGTCTAGCAAAGTAATTTTACATCAAGATACAGTAATACGGAAAAATTCGTATATAGCATTTTCTTGAAAAAAAAAGTAGACTTGGGTGTCTAG